AGTCTGTGACCATGGTGAGTAAATAGGAAAAAGAATGGCTCAAATCTTTATGCAAAGAAAACTTTGTATCCATATTTAAAGAGTAGAAAACATGCACATTGTTCTAAAACTAAGAGTGAAGTCCAAGAACAATGCTTTTACGACTAATCCCTATTTAGAACTATATATGCTGACCAGCAAAAAGTTATCGAATGTTATTGTCTTCATATGTAAACTGGTGAAATGAAACCTGGAAACCTAAATAAAGTTTTGCCATCCACATTTTAATTAAAGGAAAAAATTAGAAAGGGTAAAAGAAGAAACACTAAAATTATACCAATAGATTATATGTCCAAAAAAAAAGGCGCTATTAATTTGATTACAGTGTTTAAAATATTTCCATAGCCAAAAAGCATGTGGAGTAGCAAGGCCTCCTTAGCTAAAAAAACAGAAAACCAGCCAAACATGAACTAATGCCAGAGAGGTGATAGCCATCAAATTTAGAAGGGAAATTTTATTTTTATAACATTTTGGAAAGCTCCAAATCAGAACTCGACGCCTTTCAGAAAGACATTTGCTAACCAGAAGGTTAATGGTTTTAATACAAAGCAACTAAGTGTAGTTTCAGAGCCTGTGATTTACAATATGAACTCCAACAGCTAGGAATGAATGCAGTAAATTATTTACTGAATAAATAACTAACACACCTGATGGTGCATTCACAAAGGATACAGAAGCCTAAATCAAGTGCAATCTCTACCCTACTCCAAAAAAGACAGAAGAGGTTCTCTAGGTATAAATGTGACACACTATCAATAGCTATTTTTCTTACCTGTACAAGATACTTATGTGCATGCTCATAGGTTGGTAAAGCCCCTTCTCCGATCAGCTCTGTATCAAACAGTTCTGTTACCAGGATGTTTGCACGACATTGCATATCTCCATCTAAAAGACAGAATTAAATATTTAAAGACTTACATAAAAGTCTTTCAAGAAGATGCTATCCTGAAAACACAAGTAATTAAAAAAATGTATTTCTGTAAGAGAACCTCCTGAGGACTGCAATCTGTTCTCCTTTAGAAGTTTACTATGAAATATAAATGACTACTGATATATAACACTCCATTCTGAAGTAAATTTTCAGTATTACTTTTTATAGAGTTAAGGATTAGATTGTTTTAATTAAAAGCACATATAAAATAAAACATATTCCTTCAAGGTTTTGAGCTGCTTACCAATTTTTTTAACCCCAACCTATTTTTCTCACCTGGACCAACTGTGACTTCAGTGGAGTGCTTGTTGATTACCTTGATCTTATCACAAAAACCATTTTTCTCCACTATCTTCACAGCAGCATTAGCCATGGGCTTGAAAACCTGTAAATAACAAGAGCATAACAAATTGGTAAGCTGTGATTAGCTTTCAGAAATGAAAGGATACAAATACAAGATGCAGTAACACAGAAACTTCACATCTTCTGTATCTTTCCCTGTTTGAAGCTCATTACCGTGAAACAAGACAGCAACAATCCTCAATTAAAAAAAAACAAAACAAAACCAAACCAGTAGATTTCTGCTTGGATAAAAATCACACAGCACTCTTCCAACTATGACCTACAAACAAGTGAACCTTCTCCTTGTTTCTTCAAATGTGTTAAAAAAAACCTGAAATGGACAAAATGTTCCTGTTATTATCCTTAATATAAATAATCGCTACTAATAACCATCAGGATGTTTCTTAACTGCTAATAAAAAAAGGAGATGCTCTACCTAATCATGAAGATATGGAAAGTCAGTTGATGGGACAGTGTCTTTATGATGATGCGGGCCATGGTATGATTAAGTGGTTTGAGAACCCAACTCCAAGACTTGAAATTTATGAAGATCAGCAAAATGGTTGGAGAACACATTTTTTAAAAGCTTGGTTAAAAATTTTCCATATTACACTTGAGTCTTGATAAGAAGTAGAGAAGACAATACTATAAAACTTCACTCAGTAATTTTAATCTGCACATTTACAGAATCTGTCCAAAAAATTGTGTTGTACCTTTTCAGTTATATTCTTTTAAGACTTAAGTTGGTTTGATACACATAAGTATCAAGCTTTCACTTCAGAAGCTGCAACACAAAACACCAAGCGCATATGCCACTGATCATGCAGACAGAACAACTGCACTGAAGCTCTAAAAAGAGGCTATGAACACACCAGCAAAAATATGTGCAACCCACAACAAATGCTCACCTCAACTGCATAGCAGAAATCAGCACCTGCTGAAGCAGCCATCATAGACAGGAGTCCTGTGCCAGTCCCTATGTCCAGAACAATTGCTTTCTCACCTCTTTCTTTTACTCTGGTCACTGCAGCACGAATACCTTGGTAATATTTCTCATTCTGTGGAGAAGAAAATAAATAAAAACAAAAAAAGACCTTTTATTAATTTATACTTTTCACTCAGCTATTTACCCAATATGCGTAAGTTACAAATGCAATATATTTTCTGAAGCAAATAGGATCCATGTGAGATACTCCATGTGAGATACTACTGTTTTTCTGATCACTCTTTCCCAGCAGTACCATTCAAATAGTGACTATGCCAGCACAGTAGCTTAAAGTATCTTGGGTTCAGATTCCTCTCTCTCAACAGCTATAGAGCAGAAGGAACATTTAAACCATTCACTCCAGACTTTATCATGCCCACAGATATGGTATCTGAATTTTCTTCTCAATCCTAAGCAGTAAATACAAGTTAAAAATACTACAAAAGAATAAAAATACTTTACTTATATTACTGTAAAAACTAACAAGCCGAGATTCACATTTACAGCCTTTGAAATTTTATCTAGTGAGTGCCGTTCATCAAAAATGTCAAACAAAACCAGCAAAAATAGCTACTGAACATACATATTATGTTCTGCAGTAAACAACAGAGCACTAGAGTCAGATGCAAGAAGACATCTGTTGATCTAAAAGCAGGTCTGGCATCTTGAAGGGTACAAATTTGATTATCTCATCTTCCAGAGAAACCTGTAATCACGAAGTGACATCTATTCAAGAGAAAGAAAGTGGGCATTTCTAACCATTCAGAAGTGTTTTGCTTCTATACTTACTCTGTCTTTATCATGAAGCATATCTGCATAGCGTGACCTAAAGTAAAAAAAAATCCAGTCAAAATACTAAATACTGCAAAGCACAACAAAACTGATAGATCTTATATAGCTGCCTCAGTATCTCTTACTAAGGCAACTGTCCTACATGTCCCATAAATGCACAGATAACTAATATGTTCCTTGAGGATCTGAACTGTTTCTCAAATTTAAGGAATAATGCCATTTCAGTGATCTGTCATCACCATATAAATGAACTAATTATCTGCTGCCATGTATCCTCCTTAGCCGTGGACCCAATACACGGTCCCAGTTCACCTATGGACAAATAGCTGTGAAGTAACAGCTGGGACAATCAGGTTCATACAGAGCAATACCTAGCAATGAAAGACAGCCTACTAATGGTCTACATTTGTCACCAAGATGTAAATTTCTTTGGTTCCCATTTTTTCATGGGTCACTTTACTTAAAAACATCCCAATGTCTGCAACTGTTACATTAAGCTCTTACAAAGTTACTACAGGAACAGACAACTGGCAATTATTTACTGCACTGGGGATTTAAAAGAAATTTAGTCAATGAATTTTTCCACAACTCAGCATTAAGATCACCTCAGAAAATGTTTAAAATAATTTAAAGGGAACCTACTTCATTACGTGACAAAATTTTACATATATAAATCTGTTCCTGAACAACACAGGGCACTGTAACATTTAGACTACTCAACAGTGTTTATCTTATGCCATTGTTATTTGTATAGAGGTAAACCCAAAAACTGCTACAAAATCAAGTTGTGTTTGCTCTTTTTTGTAGCTTTAGTGGAACAACAGGATATTTTTTTCCAGTGTACCGTGCAATTTCCTGATGGTAGTCATAGTTCTCATCCTCTTCTAACCACTCCATTGCACCAGTGGTTGGATTAGCTCTTCCACAAAAGGTCTTCATGATCAATCTCAATTTGTATTATTTATGTATTATGTACAGTTTTCCCACGTTGGCTTCAGCAGAATACCCAAAATACTCACTGTGGGGTTGGGGGAAAAAAAAAAGAAAAAAATAACTAAACACCACAAAACTTGCAGTGAAAGCAACATACACCACTTTATCTCCCAATACATAGATACACATGCTCCATACTGGGCCAGCAGCACTCGTGACTGCCTTACACTTCTACTACACGGATATGTTAAGCTCACATCTGTCACCTAGGCCCGTGCAGGAATTCAGCCTAGAAAAAAGAAAAAAATCATGGGTAAATTTTCCAGGAAAAATGCCTCCCCCTGAGATAAAGCATATGGGGCTGGGGGAGGCCAAGCACCCAATCTCTAGAATCATCATCAACCAGGTTGGAAAAGGCCTTTAAGATCAAGTCCTACTGTCACCCCTGCACTGCCAAGGCCACCACTGAAGTGTCACTGAGAGCCTCGTCTGCACGGGATGTGAACACTGCCATGGACGGTGATTCCACCACTGTCCTGGGCAGCCTGTTCCAATGTCTGACCACCTTTTTGGGTAGAAAATGTTATCCATCTAAAACTCCTCGATGCAGCTTTTTTTTTCCTCTTGTTCTATCACCTGAAACCTGGGAGAAGAGACCAGCCACCTCCTGGCTCCATCCTCCCGTCAGGTAGTTGTAGAGAGCAGGAAGGTCCCCCCGGAGCAGTCTCCAGACTAAACAAGACGCTCCCCAACCCTGTCTGGGAAGGGACCTACAAACTCCGGGCAGCAGCAGCGCCGACGGGACCGCGATCGCATTTACCCCAGGCCCGAAGCCGGCAGAGCGCCACACGCATCCCCGCCGCCATCACCTACCACTCGGGCCGCCTTCCCCCTACAACCGTCACCGGCCCAGCATGCACCGCGCGGCGGGCAGGGCCGCTGAGAGCAGTTAGTAGCGGGTCCCCTCCCACTGCTTCCCGCTGAGCGCTATGGAAGGGTCCGCGGTGCTGCGCGTGCAGCGGAAGCGCAGCGGGACGGAGCCGGCCGAGGCGCTGCTCCTCGCCTGCAAGCGACTGCGCATGGAGGACGTTGGCGGTGCCCTGGCGGTAGAGAGGAACCTTTTCAAACTGGTGGCGACCGTGTCCTCTAAGGTACAGAGGCCCTGCCGCCGGGGTTGTTGTAGGCCATGGCCGCGTCTCAGGCGGCCGGGGGCGGCTTGGTCCAACCGGGGCGTTTCGTTGTGCACCTGAAGGGGCCCTTGAGCGCCGTAAGCTCAGGATCCCTTGTGCGGGATCTCCGAAGTTCTGGCTAGCAGCCTGGGCAGCAGAGTTTCGGTGTCCTCCTGTCCTGATAAACCGGCGGCCTCTGTTCTCTGCTACCGGACCCACAGTAACTGCCGGCGAAGCGGGCTGTTTACTGGGTATTTGCTGGGTAAAGAACATTAAAGCGCAGAGTGACCACCATGAAAAGCTCGGTTCAGCCCTGGCTCTTTTATACTTAAGTTATTCATATGCAGACCACAGAGTACTCAGTAAATTGAGCCTAAATTTCTGCTGTTTGCGCTGCTGGAGCTAAACCCTGCAGGGCTTACAACTTGCACCCGGTGTACGGCTTTTTATCTTGAAACTGGGCTTCCTTGGGGCCAGGTCTTTATAGGACCATCACAGGCTGGACACCACCAGTCTTCCAAAGGTGTGTGGTTTTGTTTGGAGGGCTGTCCTGTACCATAAAATGCATTGTTTAAAAATCAAGTTTTAGCACTTTTAGAGTTTATAGATACCTTATATGTTTTCCCCTCATATTGAGAGAATATTGCATCACAGAGTTGTTTGGGTTGAAAAGGCCCTTAAGGCTCATCCAGTTCCAACCCCCTGCCACGGCCAGGAACACCTTCCACTAGACCAGGCTGCTGCAAGCCCTGTCCAGCCTGGCCTTGAACACTGCCAGGGATGGGGCAGCCACAGCTTCTCTGGGCAGCCTGTGCTGATGTCTCATAATGCTCATAGTAGAGAATTTCAAGAATTACGGTAGTTGTGTTGCTTAAAGCAGTAGAAGAGGTTACTTGAACGTTGTTAGGAACACTGGCACTGCAGTGCTCAAATAGGAAGCACTGGTAATAGTTATTACTCACCTTTACAACTTAAAACCACTTATGTGTTGATGGCATCATTATATTCCTCCTCTGTTTTGCTCCTCAGAATGAACCAGTTCATAAATACGTTCAGGAAGTGATCACTCGAGACAAAGCAGCGCAAAGCCTGCGACCCTCTTTAGGAAGCACTCAGCGAATCATGAAGGAACTCCGTTCTTCCAAGCAAAAGACAAGGAAGGAAAACCGTTACCATGTAATAGCCAACAATCGACCTAACTGTAGTCAAAATATTGAACCTGTTGTAAATGGTGAGGCATCAACTGATGGTGACAGATCAGACTCTGAAGCAAGGGAAGATGCTTCACAAAAGGCGAGCAGTGCTGCTGGGAGTTTGAACTGCTGTGGGCAATTCCAGTTGTTTGATATTGTACAAGAAGAGGAGGTGGTGGGAGACTCCAGCGTAACTGCTGCAAATCTGCAGGTCAGCAAATGAACTTAGTGTACTTGAGGTGCTTTGATATAACTGTTGACTGGTACATGTGGGCAGACTGACTGCTGTGGAGGGTTTTTTGCTTTGTAAGTATTCCAGTGTTTACTGGGAGCTTGAACCTAGGTATTTGCAACTTGGAATATTGTAGAGGGAGGAACTGTCACGAGGATCCTTAAGTGCGCTAATGCTGAGACACAGCCATGTGAAATTTTTTGCTACAGGAAGGGCTTGTGCTACCCTGTTTTTTCTGTACCCTATTCTGATGTATAAAATCTAAGGTCCATTTATTGGGTGGATTTCTGAGTTTTTTAATTAACTTCTCTGCCTAGAGAACCAGAAGAATCTAATTCAGTGTCATCTCCTCAAATTATTAGGAATATCACTTGTAGGCAAGAGTCACTCCAGGAAAAGACATTTTTGAGCCTCCCCTTCTCATAATTTCAATATAAGGTTTTATCATAGAGTTTTATTTTAGAATTCTAGGTGTTTGACACTTACTTAAGATGCTACATTCTGTTTTCATTGGTATTATGAGCTAAGTATTTTTTCAGTTGGCAGAATATCTGCTTAATATCTAGCATAGCTTTAAGTACGAAGAAGCTCTGCATTCTGTGTAGGGTTCCCCTGTGTATAGTATTAAGAAGATTTTATATGTAAAAGGTCAGAGGGCTGTCTATGCTTTCTCTAATATCTTCACTGTATGTAAGTACACATGGATGCTTTATTTATGCAGCCTGTGGGAGCACTGAGGAAAACTTAAAATGCTTAATGTTAAAAAAGATAACCTAGGTGAGGAAGAACCTAACCAGCTGTCACCCTTCAGCATTTCTGATAGGTTATTTCAGGGCTTTGCCATCAGTCTTTAATACAAACTGTCTATTAAGCAGGTAGTTCAAACAGACATTTGAGATATTAGTTAACTGCTATCAATCATTATGCTGATTAGAAAAACAGAAATTAAACTGAGGTAGCATCAGAATTTTCCTTATACTCCTTTAGAGCTAGCAGTAGGTGTTGAAAGCACGAAGCAAGCTTTGTTTCCATATTTAGGAGTGAATGAAAGGTTGGTCTGTAGCTGTTCCTCAGAATTACACAAGTAGTTCACAAGACAAGACTGTGGATTGAACAAAATATTCTGAAAAGCTCTAGCAGATTAAAAGCAGCAAAAACCTGACCACGTAGACCTTCAAGTGCCGGTCACTAAAGCAGGTACATTGCAAATAATAGGAAGGAGAAAGCATGAAGAAATGTCTTCTGTTGTTAATACTGAAGTGAGGAAATAAAGGAAATAAAAAACTTATCTGTAGGGCTGGTCAGGTTTTCCTGTTGTCACATTTTCATTGTCTCTCCTCCACACTTTGTACACTGTAATCTGTTTGCATATTATCCATGCTGCTGAATGCACATTTTTCCTGCAGCGTTCCAAGTGTAATGTTGTACAAAACACAGGCTGGCTGAAGACTTGCCTTTTCAACCAACATGTCATTAGAAACAGATGAACAATTCTGTGGGATTAGTTGTATCCTTTTCAGTAGTTTCTAAAGATTTGTCCTAGAAGTTTTCTGCTATTACCTGAAATAAGGCATGGCTGCACAGTACTACAGTAATTGGAGTTTTTTTTTGTGTTTATATTTTAGCTTGCTAATGTTCTAAATATCGGCATTACAATGGAGAAGTGTCTTGGTCTAAGATTTCAGACTGTCAGCTAGCTGTTTGTTGGTTACTTTCTATAGTGAAAACTGTTGGTTTTAACTAAAACTTTGTGTGGCTTCAGTGGAAATAGCCATTTTTTATTTTTTCTCATCAGAAGACTGATCCAGATGTGATCCTCTGCAATGCAGTAGAGATGATCCGTGAGCGTTTGAATATTTCTGAAGATAGTGAAAAGGAACACGAGAAAGAAGATGAGTATGTTTATGACATCTACTATATGGAATCATCAGCCCCTGGCTGGATCCAAAATATTCTTTCTGTACAGCCCTACAGAGAAGAATATGAACTGGTAAGGTCTTGGGAAAATAGCTTTCTTAAACAGAAAGCTCACAAATAAACATCTGTAACATCCTATCATTAAAAGTTGCCATACCAAGAAGGATGCTTTGAGATACTACACATATGCTCAGGGACTTACGTGTTGGGCTTTTTCCAGCTGCCAGTTCTGTATTCCTACAGGTTACTGTTGATTCCAGGAAATTACCTTATGACAATGAAAACTAAAGGGATACAGCTCATGTACTCAGAAGAATGTGTCTGGCTTCAAATTACCAAATTTTGGCACACAAATGAAAACTTCAGTAATACATGTCTTATTTGTGATTAACAGGCAGCGATTAAAATGTAGCTGTAAATATGGTTATGTGAAAAAAGGAGCAAAGGGACACATACTTTTTCCAATATTTGAGGACTTGACTTTAATCTCAGTATGAGCTACTTTCTTGTAATAGAATTGTCCTTCAGTTGCTGTGGAGTTAGGAAGTTTAATGTAAGCTTTAGTCTTCCATAGTACAGATACTGTGATCAACAGATTAGCAGGTTGGGAATCTGAAGCTACTTTCTTTTCCTTGATGTATTACACTACTGCTGATGTGAGTAGGATTACTTTAGACATTAACCTTAGCATTTAAACGCTGAAGTAAACGCATGACTTAACTGTTTTTTCACCTAAAGCAGATTGCTGTGTTATGACAACACAAATGTCACATGCTGACAACACAAATGTTTCTGCAGTGCCCTTTGTGCAACTGCAGAATTACTTATGCATGCAGTAGACGAGTATCTCTTGGCATTTTTATTATCTTCACAGGGTGGTATAGGTGAACGAAAACCACCATAATGCTAAGTGTATTTATAGTGAATGTTATCTGTTGTGTTGACATGCAGGTAAATGATGATAATGTTCCAGACGAAACAGATGAAGATGATGAAAATGACGAAAATAACTGGCGTAATGACTATCCCGATGAAGATGAATTCTTACCTGAGGAAGATAGTGATGAAGAAAAAGGTGTGCCTGTCATAAACATTTGTTTGCTTTCATACTGTGCACATATAAATCCCATCCTTCTTACATGCCATCTCTAAAAAAGCAAATAAGTAAGCACTGCTGGGGTAGTATTCTGCTCTTGTAATGGGTTAAATCTGCTTAGAGAAGGATAATCTGTCCTGGAACTACAAGACCTCCTAATGTTTTTGCAAAGTCAAGATTGAAAACTTCACTTTGCAGGCTGCTGCTACTGCAAAGGATTGCTTATTTTGAAATAAATCAATGACTTGGTTCCCCACGCTTGAGACAGTGCCTCTGCTTTCTTTCACGCCACACACAGTTCAAACCTCACCTAATACAGAAGTTCCTCAGACTTTGTTAATTACTGAAGAAGCTTAAAATAGTCTGATTAACCTAATTGCTTAACTAAAAAAAAGGAATTACCTAAAGGTTGATGCTTTTTTTTTTTTTGCCTTTTTTTTTTTTTTTGAGTAGAGTCTGAAGACAGCTTCAGTGATGAGGACCAGTGCTACAGGAGAACATGGAACAAATACCGACAAGAGGTTCTACAGGAATTTGGATACGAAGAGATCCAGGATTTGGAGTCTGACTAACCGTCCTTTTTCTGAAGATTAAATGCACACTGAAGATTAAATTCTACCTTTGCAACAGAACTGAAAATCCAGACAGCTGCTGATAACCATTTTAAAGTATGCTGAACTAAACTTAGGAAAGAATAAAAGAAAAAATCAATCCCAAAAATAAACAAACCCTGGAACACCTTTTACTGTAAAAGTTGTGCTCACTGGGACAGTAGGAAACCAGTCTTCGCATGTATGAGCTGTCTGACCTTCAGAAACTGTTGGTGACTAGCAGGTTTACCCTTGCATTTACTGACTAGGCTTGAGATTAGATACGAGACTGGGACTCAGTAAAAGGTAAAACTTTTTACCATCTGAGCAGCCAGCTTCAGCTGGTAGCTGCTAAACAGATGAGTGTATGTCCACTTGACATATTCAAAAACAAAGTTTTGTTCCAAGCAAAAGATACTGTATACTTGAAAATATTTTTGTGCCTATTCTGTGATGCTGTGGTTCTGAAGGAACATTTTTGTTTGTTTGTTTTAAAGCATCCACATTAAATATGAAGGTACCATTGGGAGCAGCCCTTCTGGTCATGACTAATGTGCCAGGTTTCACATGAAGACCAACATGTCTTCCATGGCAGCAAGTGAAAGTCCTGGAAAAGGGTGCTCTGTCCTAGTACATTCTACTGTTCCTAAGTTACTTCCCTCACAAGTACCTGAGCATATGAAATGCCTTGACCTGTCCATTTATTGCTGTTCTCTCTCCAGTAATTTTGCCATTGGAGTAGAAAAATGTATGTGCACTTAAATTCTAAATAAAGAATTTCTGACTAAGTTTCCTTTACTTGTTTAAATATCATAGAAGCTGATACAGCTGAAGCCATGTCAGTATTTTACTTTACATTCACAGATGTTTAAATTAATCTTACCTGTTTGGGCATACTATTTCAGGACTCTCCCACCTGAGTTTAAAAAATAGCTAATAGGATGTTAGATCAACACCATTCACGACCTGTAGGTTGCAGCAAAGACTTTAGGTAAATTAGGTTTGGCTGGTGATGTCAAGGTAGTGGAGGAAAAGTATTTTTTCCTTGGTTTTAATACTGCTGTTAACCTATGCCAAAGCCCTAAGCCTGTTAAAGCTATTCTTGCTTACTGGACAGATGTCTCAACATACTGAATTTATTCTAATCATATGCAGGATTAAAAGCTATATTATAATAACTAAATGCTAATTTTCATCAAATACCGAAAGACCCTACATGTTCACATGCCAACTGGGCACAAAATTCCCCAGCTAGAATTTTCACTTCCCTTAAATCCCTATGCTGCTTCATGAAGACTGTCCCAAACCCTGTTTTATGTTAGTCCTCACCATCTACTGCCATTTGCCATTATCTGTAGTTTTTTAAGATAACCTTAATCACAGAGTTAGTGCAAGAATCCAGATGCCCTCGCTATTACTCAAGTGGCTGATGCAAATGGGGTACAGTGTCTGAAGCATGCATTACTTCAACCATAATCTTGTGATTACAAGATTTAGTTCAACTTAAATGCACAAAAAACCACATTTATGGACAAATTTGGGTAAACTGAGGTAAACATTCTAGACATGGTGTTAAAGTGTACCTCACTCTACTAGCCAAAAAGGTTGGCTTCATCTCTTTTGCTGCACCAAAATGAGTGTCAAAGTGTCCTGATACTAGACTTGACAGCTTTGGAATTACAATTACTACTAATCAGCATCAATCTGCATTGCAATAATAATTTTTATTTCAGTTTTTATTCCTGTTTTCTCTCCCTGCTACTTATCTTTCAAGATATTACTTTCCAGCTGATACAGAACATTACTTCTGATATAGAAGCGAAAAAGAAAGTGGTTTGTTCTGTCAGGTTTTGGATGGCCATTTTATAGTGAACAGACTGAAATATAGAAAGTGAGCTTTGTTGACTGCTGAGGCAACACGATGTGTGCTTACTGAAAAAGTTCAGAAACAAATGCTTACAAGCTTCAAACACCATTTTAATTTTGAAATTTTCATAAAGCCTAATAGAAACTGACCATGTGCTAACACGCTAACAGGAAAGAATCATCAACCTTTAATCAAATCTTTAGTGCCAAGGTGCTTTCTTGATTAAATCCTTGCCACACTCAGATAGCACACTTCTACAGCATATGGAATAAAATCCTTGTCTTTAAGGGAGAAAGTTGGTTCAGTCTTCAAATAATGGAGCACAACTTTAGCTCATTTTTCTGCTAATAGTGACTAATAACGTAGTTTGTTGTGGCCAGGTGTCTTCTGTGATGAAAACTGAGCACAGCAAATAATTTCATGCAAGCATCCGTAGAATTAAACTGGAAATGGCTTTTGGTCTTCTGAGTCAAAGTTGTTTTCTGTCTAACTTACAAATGCATTACTTCACCACCTGGTTCTGGAAAAATCTAATTTGATCTATTAGCTCCTATCATTTGAATACCAATTCTGGAAAAGGAACAGTATTGACACATAGCTTGTGTGCCTGAACTGAGCAGGTAATCAATATTCAATGAGAAAAAAAAAAAAAAAACATCCCCTGAAACATGCCACAGTTCAGAAGGGTGAGGCAAGGGTGTGATCTGTGTGGGAATCCAATTGCAAGGAAGTACAGTTTCAGTGTTTCTGAAAGGTCACTGGAAACAGTTTTTCTGTTTCATTTTTTTTCAGTCCCACCTCTTCCCTTTTGTTGTCATAATTGCTTTAGCCTCCCTCCTGTTGCTTGTAATGGCTTTGAAATATTTGTTGGATTTGATTTATAACTTCTTTTCTTCACTTGGGTCCATCTCTGTTAGAACACAGTAACAGAGCAGCTGCATGTTTCGTGTAACTGCACCTGCATAGGAAATGGGAGATAAATCAGAACCACCACCTATCTCAACTCTTAACTACACAATATGCATCTGACTAAGCTTCTTCTGCCTCTCACTGGCACATGAGATATAGATACATATATAAAAATCAGCATACCCCTTTAACTGGGTCTGGGTGGGATGCAGTTAACATTCTTCATAGTGGCCCATATGGTGCTGTGTTTTGGATCTGTTGCTCCAACAGAGTTGTAACACACCAATGTTTTGGCTATAGCTAAACAATGCTTGCACAGTATCAAGCCTTTTTTTTTTTTTTTTCTTCCCCTTCCTTTCTGCCCTCCCTGCAAGCAGCAGAATGGGCATAGGCATGGGCAGGAAGTTCAAAGGGGAGATGGCCAGAACAGCTGACCCAAACTAGCCAAAGAGGTATTTCAGGCTGTATGTTTTCTAGTTCAGATATAAAAACAGGTAGAGGAAGAAGTGGGAAGGTGTCCCAAAAGGTGACCATTGCTTGGAATCTGGTTGCATACAGGCCTGCTTGTGGGAGGTGGTGATTATTGCCTTTGCAGCAGCAGGTTTTCTTCCCCTCTTTCCTTCACTTAGTAAATTGTCATTAGCTTGACCAACAAGTCTTCTCACCTTTTTTCTTCCTATTCTTTCCCTCATCCTGCTGGGAGGGATGGTGGTGAGAAACTGACTCTGTGGGTACTTAGCTGCTGGTTGGGGTCATCTGATCGCAACATTTTTCATCAACAAAATGAGATTCACTTACTTAATTTTCCTCTTTCCTAACACCTCTGTCTATAAAGAAACTTACCTAAAATCTTGTTGATAAACCGAGGTCTCCTTGATGCAGGTAAATAGACTCCCAAGAAAAAGACTGGAATTCCAGATAAAGCAATGGCAATTCCAATCAATGAATTTACAGTATCGCTATAGAGTGGCACTACCACCAGAAATACTGTGCATATACAGAATATTATTGGGAAAGCCACACTCAGCTGGAGAGAGAAAAACAGAACAGAATATTATTAAAATATCTGTAGTCTGCAGTTACATTTTGGTGACAGTTACAGACTCCTCCCTCTCTACCCTACTTTGTGAAACTACCTGCTCTTCTTCTTTTATATCTGGCTATTTGGAACCATAAGCGAATTGCAGAATTATTCTTGAACAGAACTGCTGCTAAAAATTGCAGAAGTAATCAAGTGTGGTAACTCTGCTGTGTAGACAGAAACTGCATAGCAGCACAAAGTGGTGTTAGATAAATCCAATAAACTGAGGAAACAAGAATGACTTTCTCATGCAGAGCATCAAGTTAAACTATGAGAAGGTGGTTAAGAGGATCAGATATTGAACTGAAACACCATCAGTATGAAATGTGTTCCACATTGACAGAATTAATTAACTTTAGCATTCCTAATTAGAGATTACTAATCCAAGAGAAAAGGCTAACTACTATGTTAACCTTTTGAGACACTCTCCAATTCACAAGAGAGAAGGGCTACTGATTGAACTAATGGGCAATAAAAGAATACACTATTACAACAATCACTTATTCTTATCTAGCAGACAAACTGGCTTTCACAGCACAACAGAAAATGGAAGTAATGTTTTATGTCCTGTTCAACCTGTAATCTTTAGACATAATATGTATGGTTCAGATTTTAGACAGTACTTTTACATATGTGGAAGACAGGTATTTTAAACAATTCTGTAATAGATGAATACTACCTTAAGAGGCCTTGGTCGATCTGGTTCTTTCCAACGCAGATATAATTGCCCAGCAATAGACAGACCAACAAAAAACCAGTAACTGAAACTGAAGTAATTAATAAGCTTGAAGACATCTTCCACAGCCAGGTATATAAGGGTCATAACACACTGTCAGAAAAAAACAAGAGTGAACTGAACAACAGAAGTTTGAAACATTGTTTATGCTGCTTTTTGACTTAAAGTACCATCTTACACTCTGGTGTTTGGCACAATTTTATGCCTCTAAAATCACTCTCTCAGAAATCACCTTGATGACAGTACACTAGCTGGGAGTGTGCGCTCACAGCCCAGAAAGCCAACCGTATCCTGGGCTGCATCAAAAGCAGCGTGACCAGCAGGTCGAAGGAGGTGATCCTGCCCCTTTACTCTGCTCTCGTGAGACCTCACTTGGAGTACTGTGTGCAGTTCTGGTGTCCTCACATAAGAAGGACATGGAACTGTTGGA